TGTTATTATTGGTCTGATGACTGTTTTCTAAATTCTGCCTTCCGTTTTTTTCCCGATATTTTTATTTCTCCATATTGTTTCATTCAGGCAGCCTGCGTCTCTATTTGCTCTATTCACTTGATCTTCCACTTCCGAGCTTTCCGTAGCTAGATAATGTAATGCCTAGATACTTAAACTCCATCACTTGTTCTATTATCTGACCTTCCAGTTCCAATTTACATCTTAGTAAATTTTTTAACTTCCTTAATGCTCTCTTTACCTCTCCTTCCTCCTCAATATTTATTTCTTCGTTTGTCGTCACCTCTGGTGTTGTTGGTTCACTATCGTCATCTTTAGCAAATAGGGATCTAAAGTAGTCTACCCATGTTTCCTTCTGACTGTGTTTCATTTTTATTAGTTCGTTCATTCCTTTCCTTTGTCCTCTGATCATTCTTTATATCTCTTTTTGTGTTCCGTAGAAGTCGTGTTCCATCTGTTTTGAGAAGCTCTGCCAGTGTTCCCTTTTTATTTGTCTAACTAAAGTATTCGTTTCATTTCTGATTGGTTTATAGTGGTTTTATTCCTGTTGTGTTCTGTATTGTAAAAAAGTTTTTTTCTTTTTTCACATTTTGTCTTCACTTCCTCTCTAAACCATGGTATTTTCTTTTTTTATATGTTTGTGTTCGTTACTTTTTTCTCTCCAAGTGATTCTGTTGCTACATTAATTGAGTTAAATTGTTGCTGCATTAATGATTTTGGGCTTAATAATTTTCGGTATACGACTTTCAAAACGATGAAATGATAATTAGTGATCATGTGAATTAAACCTAATAAATTAAAGAGCCGTCTCTGGTGATAGGAATCAATTGCAATAGATGATATACTGACAGGAAAACGTTTATATTCGATTAGATTCTTACATGATTAATTTACAAAAGTAGGTAGGATCTACAGGTGTTTACATCGAAAATAATTATAATACTGCATATTTGAATTAATCATTGTTATTCATCTAATTAAAATGTTACGTATTCTTGCAATTATCGATACCGTAGGAAGATTTACAATGGTCATAGTGTTCCTAGAATTGCGCAAAAAGGACGCATTATTACGACTATTATATTTAATTTTGGAGGTGTGTTTCAATCAACATGTTGAATAATTTATCTCTTTAATTATGATAATGTTTAGCCATCCATTATCTTAACTACGTCATATATTTTATTTTTATTTCAGGTATTGATCATTTTTTATCAGAATTTGATATTAATATATTGTTAAATTTTTAGTTTAGCCTTTCGTTACTGACTTAGGTGGTTTTGAATTCGAAATTTTGATACAATATAGAAATATGGACAAGCTGTAGCAACCTGAACTAGAGTTTTTCATAAGAATTCCTAACAATATCAGCGATGACAGTTTTTTATGCTCAATAGAGATGAATCACTTTAGTGTCGACACACTGACACAAATATAGTTTCTTGAACATAAAAACTAACATTTAAATTACTTGTAGATTTAACTGTTGGCACGTTTGCAAGGGATTAACTTGTTAAAGTGCCAACATTTAATTTGCAATTAAGTTATATATTAGCTTGTAACTCTACAAATGATGAAAAATGTTTGAGACGCACAAAATGAACTAGACACGTTGCTCAGACTCGGAGGAGATGTGGGGGTGGTTCTTACTAGCACACAATCAAAATAAAAATTAAAAAGAAGAAACAATTTGGGAAGGATGGCTACTAGAGCTAAACGAGAAATATGGAATGAATAAAATAAAGAAAAATCCTAAATAATTTGGCAAAAAGGTCAGAAAAAAGGTTATAGAAAAATTTGCCAAGAAGGAGAGAAAACAATAAAAAAGGCGCCACTTTGTCTTTTTTGTGAGGGCATAGAAAACTCAACCAAAATACATATTGTTACGAACATGCTTTCGGCATGTCCCACGTAACGGTTGCATCTCGAAACCGCTTCGAGAATCATCACCGGAACTCTCGAAGGCAAGAGAACAATCGGTCACGTGCGCGAATTAGAGGTGGGAACTTTCTAGAACATAGTAACTTAGGTATGTGTATATATATATATATATATATATATATATATATATATATATATATATATATATATATGTAATGATCTTAGGAGTAAGTCAGTTGATAAGATAGTACCGAACTGTAAAGTTATAAATAAATATATTTATATAAATTCGAACCGCTCGTTTTATTTAAAAACAAATTATTTAAAAACAAATTGATTTATTAAAAATAAATTCAGCAGTGACTTTGAAAAAAATAAGAAAAGACTTTTGAACTTTTGAAAAGTATTGTTCGTCGGGAACATCCGCGTAGTTCGGTAGTGATCGTTGTACGAAAGAAAATTTAAAAAGTACGTGTGTGCCTGACCAAAGATGCTGCTAATAGAACTTTCAGTGAAACAGTTGCGTGAGCAACTAGAAGAACGCGATGAGGACTGCAGCGGGTCCAAGAAGATACTCCAAGAACGACTGGAGACTGTTCTCAACAAGAATGGAGAAGACCCAGAGACGTTCCAGTCAGCGGAAGAAGCAGTTTTAATGAAAATAATTGATGGGAAATTTGAGAATGTCTCACAGATGATCGAAGAGAGTTCTAAAAAAATGATAATAAATTCGAGAACGTTTCCAAAAGATTGGATGAAACGTCTCACATTATTAAAGAAGTAGGTAGACAAAACGACGAAAAACTCGAAAGTGTATCTAGAAGATTCGATGAGAAATTTGAAAATGTTTCTCAAATGATGGAAGAAACTTCTAAAAAGAATAATGAGAAATTTGAAGAAGTCTCTAAAACATTCGATCAGATGCAGAAAAATGTAAACAACGTAGAAGATAAGATCAAACAATTAGAGACTATGATAACTAACACAAAAATGCTACCACTTAATACGGTAGCTTTAGATCAGGTAGTGAAAGAAGAATTGCCTAGAGACGAAATGACACATCATATGCGATTCAAATTGCCACCATTTGATGGAAAGTCTTCTTGGTCCATATACCTTAGACAATTTGAAGCTATTGCGGCAGCCAATCATTGGTCAGAACAAGAAAAAGCTGTTTCCTTGACTGCTGCGGCGATTTACGAGGTGATGCTGCGGATATCCTAAGATCGATTTCTAAGGGTCAAGAAAAATGTTACCAGACCTTGTTTACTCGACTAGGCAAACGTTACGGAGATGCCCATCTACAACAAGTCTACAAAGTACAAATAAGAAGTAGAATCCAACGAGCAAGTGAGAGTTTGCAAGAATTTGAAGCAGATATTGCTCGTATAGCGCTGTTGGCCTATCCAGAGGCACCAGACAACATTTTGGAAGAGATTGCTGTAGATGCCTTCGTCAATGGGTTGAGAGACAGTGAACTACAGAAAGCTTTACGACTAGCAAGACCGAAAGTTTTAGATGAAGCGCTCGCCATTGCCTTGTAACATGAGATAGCTAGTCGAGTTTCACGGAGCTATCAAGTACGAACCTCTGAAGAGAGTGACGAACGAAACGATAAACGTCTGGAGGAAATCGTACGGAAAGTAGTACGTAACATGATGCCGAAGGGATGTGAACCCAGATGTTGGAATGGTAACAACGAAGGTCACATTCGCCACAAAGTGCAAGAAAATAATACAACAGTCAGAAAGCTAGAACAGATCGAGCACTGGGCTGGAAAAAGTCATTCAAATGCTGATGTTCAATCAAGACAGCCATACAGTACAAATCGTAATCATTGTCTTGAATTAGAAGAACGGCTTTGCCCCGTGAGGCGAACCACCGCTATTAATGATCAATGGCAGCCTTAACAGCTACAAGACGCTCAAGCAGATGATCCATGTATAAAAAGAGTATTGGATTAGGTGCGTCGAAGTAAAAGACCTTCTTGGCAAGACATTAGTGCATGTAGTCCCGAAGTCAAGTGTTACTGGAGCCAATGGAATTGCCTAGTGCTGAAAGATGATCTTCTGTATAGAACCTTTGAGAACGATGATGGTACAGAAACTAATCTTTAGTTGATTGTACCTAAAAGTAAAGTGTCAGAAGTATTGCGTCAGTTGCATGACGGTTCATCAGGTGGACACTTTGGTATTACGAAGACTCTGCAAAAGGTTCGATGGTATATAATCGTAAACAGACCAGCAATAGAGGCAATCGGTCATTCATTCATTATTCGTATTTCACTTTAGTCTGTGTTTTGTAATGTGACGTAAACATTCATAATTAATATATTAAATAATGTCATCTATAAGTTATCCGTGTGTATACTAGTAACCAATAAATACATTACATCTTTATATAATATATTCAGTATCCTCCTTAACTACCAAGATGTAGTTGTATAGCGAAAGCGAAGTATTGTAACGAAATAGACCTTCTCCGGTGCGAGGTACGTGTCACAATTCCTAGAAGGATGATTCTCAAATACACAATCGATGGTATTCTCAATAGCGCCTGCCTTTGAGGCGCTTCGAACGGAAGCGCCTCAGAGTTGGGCTGATCCAGATGAATCTAGAATAATATTTTTGGTATATATATGAATGTTGTTATTAGTTGAATTTAGTTGATAAGATATTTTCGTGCTGTACACTTCTAAATAAATATATTTATATAAATTAGAACCGCTCGTTTTATTTAAAAACGGTACAGTAACTCCAATCGATTTATACATTGACGATGTGATGAGATGCAGTACATTCGTTTACATATTTATATATCTATAAATTGTTTAACCAAGTTATCTATCAATTAATGCAGACAAAGATATTTTCCATGTCTTTTTTATATTTTACTTAATTGTCAACAAATGTGGTACACGATAGACCTGGATATGGTCAAAATAATACACAGAAAAAATATGTACCTCTGTATTTATGTTGACATCATTTCTTACCCTTCAGCCCTTAAGTGAAAAAAGTAATCTGTAGTTTAACATAATCTTATTGTTAATAAGTCTTCTATTTCTATTTATATGTTCATTCGATTATTTTTTGTTTCAGAGAAACCTGCCTTCTCGTAGATCCTAAAAACACTTCGGCTGTTAGCAAACAGTGGATTGCGCTGGTCGTGGGTCACGAACTTGCACATCAGTGGTTCGGAAATCTCGTGACTATGGAGTGGTGGACCCATCTTTGGTTAAATGAGGGCTACGCTTCATTTGTAGAATTTCTCTGCGTCAACTACCTCTTCCCTGAGTATGATATCTGGACTCAATTTGTTAATGATTCGTATATAAAAGCTCTAGAATTAGACAGTTTGAAAAATTCTCATCCCATCGAAGTACCTGTTGGAAACCCTTCCGAAATTGATGAAATATTCGATGATATTAGCTACAACAAAGGAGCTTCTGTTATACGTATGTTGCATCATTATATCGGAGATGAGGATTTCAGGAAAGGAATGCATTTGTACTTAACCAGACATCAGTACAAAAATACTTTCACAGAAGACTTGTGGGCTGCTTTAGAAGAAGCCAGTCAAAAGCCAGTTGGGGACGTTATGTCTTTTTGGATCAAACAAAAAGGATTTCCCGTTGTTAAAGTTACACAGCAACCGGCAGGTAAGATTTGTTATCACTCAAGATCAATTTATCACTATCAACACCGTAAAATAAATAGTTATAATTTGAAAATTGGTCCAAACTGTTCAAAACATCGTAGTTTATTACATCTGGTTATGTTATAGTTCCCATCGAACGAAGATATTTTCATTTAAACGACATGTTACAGTTTCGTTAGAATTTATAATGATCAAATAACATTGATGTAAAGAATCATGTTCTAGTTTTTGTGTCGACTTTTCAAACTCTTCAAAATCTAGAAATGGGATTGTCCCCCAAAAAGTTTCTTAGTTAGTACAACAACATAACAATTTTAGGCTTAGGCCTTTTGCAAAACGTTTGAATTTTTAGTGTATAATTATTTGATTATAAGGAGGCAGATGCAGCAAAATTGAAATAAATATAGCTTAAAGTTATCAGCTATTTCCTCTATTTAGTGTTAAGATGTGTAGGGTGTCCCAGAGGAGATAGAAAAAAAGAAGTTAAGATGTCACGACTTGATGTTTCTTTTTCGTTAAAGTGACGATTGCATAATCAAATCATCAATAGTTTCTCACATTAGCGAGATACAGGACGATTATTGATAAATTTCGAAAGCGATAGAGTTATAGATATTAGTTCTTTTTCTTCAAGTCCCCTTGCCGTTGGTGATTAACACGGCAAAAATTTCCCCTGTCCTGAGCTATCCTGAACAGCTGTTCGACTCTTTTGATCCCTAGTCCATTCTCTGATATTTTTCAACCACCAGGCTTGTTTTCTACTAATTCCCCTGTGCTTTGATTTTACCCATTATAATTAGACGAAAAATATTTTACTGGTCTCCCCGGATTATATGTCCAAGATATGCTATTTTGGATTTGATGCTATCAATCAGCTGACGAGATTCTGCTGTTAAGAACTGCTTCATTTGTCTGCTAGCCGTTCCCACTATTTTGGTGTTCGTCTATACCACCATATTTCAAAAGCCTCTAAGCGGTTAGCAGTAGATATTTTTAAGGTCCATGCTTCGACACCATATACGACAATTAACCACATGTAACATTTTATCATGCGTTTCCAAAGTTTAAGTTTCATTTTATCGTTACAAAATAGTGACCTCATTTTTAAAAAAGTTGCATGAGCCATTTCAATGTTGTATCTCTTTATCTGGATCTAATTGTTCAGTAATATAACAACCTAGATATTCTTTATTAAAAAAATTTAAAACTCTTGATAGATATTATGGAAGGGTTTAGTGGAATACACAAAAAAATTGAGGATAACACCAAGGAAATATAATAGCAACTTATTTTATATTTTTATATGTAAAACACTGCATATATTTTGACATTTTTTAAATATGATTGTTATTTTGAGGTATCCGCAGAGTGACCACTAATATTTTCTATATTTTATTTGGCAACAGCTCAAGATTACCATACGTTTCTTTGAGATGCACGGAACGAGCAACAGGCACCGAGGAAAAAGTATTACCGTTGTGCAACAAGACACCCGATGGTGGTCGGAAAAATTAATATGGAAAACTCAATACTAAAATTAGATAACGAAATCCTGGAAAGAGTGGAACACTTTAGATATCTGAGTAGTTGGCTGACTGCAGGGTTGAAAATGGCGAGAAAATTTCGACCAGAATAGAAATTGCACGAAAAATCTTTATTAACTGGCGTTTTGTATTGTGCAATAGAAGTCTGTCATTGACAACACGTCTAAGGGTATTGAAGTGCTACGTCTGGTTCGCTTTGTTCTATGGATCTGAATCCTGGACAACAAAAATTAAAAATCTTATTATCTTAGACAGCGCACATATCTGACGGATTTGTACGAAAGACCATGCATAAAGAGCGAGAATTGATCATAATTATCAAGATAAGAAAGGTCCAATATTTCGTCCATATAATGAGAGGACATTAATATCGCTTAGTCCGGTTAATTGTTTCATCTAGCTGCCGATCGAGAAACATTTCATCAACTTGTTAATACGACGATAGCCAACGCTTGAAAACAAGCACGGCACACAAAGAAGAACAAGACACCCTTCAGACTTCTCTTAAAAGAATCAACCAATAACCTCTATGTAATTGTCAGCTCCCAGTTTCATGACTACCTCAGAGTATTTCTACTTAAGTCTGTTTTAGACTATAACATAAAATTATAGAAGAAAATGGTATAATAAGTTTTGTCATAATGTAAAACAGAAAACAAAATCTGTTAACAAAAAATGTTATAGAAATTAGAACATGTCCTATTTTGGTACCAATTATTAGTATACACGCATGCGCAGTTACAATTTTGTATCCTGTTTGGTAATATCTTCTCGAATCAGTTCAAGAAGTTCATTAAATTGTGGCTTACACATTCTTAAAAATTGTCTATATTTTTCAGAATCGTTGTCTTTTAATTCAGTTTACAACATACTTAAAACACCACGACCTTCCTGTCTTTTTTGAAACCAAGCTCTAAACCACATATTTCGTTGGCCTTTTTTCTTGCTTGTCGGAATTAAAAGAAATGTTGTAATGGAAGTAGTAGTTAAAACAAAAGTAAAACGAGGGTAAAACTAACTAGGTATTTACGTGGGTAAAAAACTAGATTAAATGTTGGAGAAAATGGGTTACATTATAATAACGAAAAGAAGAATAAGAACATTGAGGTTAACAGTACTTGTATACCAACATAATAATTTTATTTTAAAAAAGGACTGTTTTAGCATGGAATGCGCAGAATCACATAACATATTTTGATACCAAAATGTGACAATGTAATACACAAAACTTCTTATATTAATATTGTACACAATCATTTCATGTAAGTTCTTGTTATACCATTTTCTTATATCATTTTATGTTATAGTCTAAAACAGACTTTAGACCGCTTCTCTAGCTCCCAGTTTCATGACTACCTTAGAGTATTTCTACTTAGACAACTTCTTCTTCTTCTTCTTATGGTGCCCTATCCAATTAGTGGATGTTGGCGACAATTCTGGAATACTGCTCTCGATCTTGTGTGGCTCTAAAAAGTGCATGGGCATCGAAATTTGTCCAATCCCTTATGGTTTTAAGCCATGAGTATTTCTTTCTTCCGATGCCTCGTTTTCTTTCTATCTTCCCTTCCATAATAAGCTTTAAAAACTGGTACTTGGAATTTCGAAATATATAACCCAGATAAGCAGTTTTTCTTCTTTTTATTATAGGCAGCATTTCTCGTTCTCTACCCATTCTATTTAATACTTCGACATTTGTTGTGTGATCTGTCCAGGGAATTTTAAGTAGTCTTCTAAATACCCACATTTCAAAGGCCTCTAATCGGTTCATCACATTGGCCTTTATGGTCCAGGTTTCTACACCATATAGCAGTGTGGAGTGAATGTAACATTGTACAAAGCGATATCGAAGCATTAAGTTGAGGCTGCTGTTGCTTAGCAAGGTTCTCATATTAATAAATGCTGTTCTGGCTTGCTCAATCCTGTTACGTATCTCTATGTCTGGATCTAGATCTTCAGTTTTCCAACTACCGAGATATCTGAACTTAGGGACCTTTTGGATATTCTTGTTGTTTACTCTTATATTCAATTGCATATTTCGTGTTCTACTAACCACCATTACCTTCGTCTTGTCTATATTAATCTTCAAGCCCACTCGTTATCCTTCAGTGTTTATTCTATCTATTAGTCGTTGTAGCGCTTCTTGGCTATCAGCTATTATGACTGTATCATTAGCATAGCGAAGATTACTAATAGTCTGTCCGTTGATTTTGATTCCATCTTCAGTGTCACTTAAGGCTCTATCGAAAATCGTTTCAGAGTAAAGATTAAAAGGAGGGGTGACAGAACACAACCCTGTCGTACACCTTTTTCGATTGAAAAACATGATGTAGATTCCAGTCCTACTCTCACAGATGCCACTTGATTCATATAAAGGTTCTTTATGATTTTAAGTTCATTTTCATCTATCGAACGTTCCTGGAGCAATCTTATTAATTCTGAATGATAACACAATCGAATGCTTTCTGGTAATCTATAAAGAATAGGAAGACATCTTTTTGCTAATCTCTGCATTTCTGAAGTAGGACAGTTAAGCTATAAAGTGCTTCTCTTGTGCCTTTCTCTTGAGAGAAATATTCCGCGAACTCTTTTTCACGATGCCTATACCACAAATGTGTGGGTGCTGGAGTCAACAGATTTCTCTTTTTCTGTCGTAATCATAATATTTGTGCAGCATTCTTCGACACGTCTGTCTCTAAGTCGTTAAGCTTTGATAAACTGTTGAGGTTGCTTTATTTTTCATTTTATGGCTGTTGGATGACGTGAAGAAAAGGTGGAGGAATAGAGATTCCTGATCGATGAGTTCCAGGTCGTTTAGCAAACGGTAAATCAGGCTACTGAATTATATGTTTATGTTTCGAATTTAAACCCTTGACATCACGGGAGTAAAAGTAACAGTCGTGTCTATGTTTTTGGGTTCTCTTCATACTATAGGAATGCGTATATCTTTTATCCATTTTCTCACTAGGTCGACACAGTGAAAACAACTCACGCTTACTAACTATTTCATAAACAATTGTCGATGCCGTCAACTTGACGGCATCGGCAGTGTTGTCATTGAAATGAAATAAATATAGTATTGTACTAAAATATTTTTTATCAATGTATTAATTATTGTGTCAACAGCATATTGATTTAAAGTAGTGTGACGGTCCATCCAATGTAAAATAATTTTCCTTTAAACATTTTGCCAGATTGTACTAACGAGGCATTTGATACAAATAGAAAAGGGTCCCATATCATAATTATTTGATTACCTCTTTTGATGTGTATTTGGAAGTAAGCAGCAATTCCAGAGGTCCCTGAGTGAACTTTTCATTTGACATATTTCACATGACATATCCCGATTTACATTTTGTCTTATAGAAGCGGTAGCACTCAATTTATGAATTCATTCTTTGGAGATGCTCCTAAGTCGCTCCCGTAAATTTTGACCAGCTGTGCTTATGAAAACCAATAAATAGGAAAATAGAAATATTTGGAGCATATTACCTGTTTTTGTAATACATTTTTAAGTAAGGCACTTGTGATTTATAGTAGCTTGGAATTATTTCTTTTTAGTGTTTCGTATGCGATAGACATTATCAAGGGCTATGGTTGGAGTATCCTTAAGCAAGGTGGCTAATCGTTGACTGAACAGTTGTAATGCACCGATCACCAAAATCATTTTAACATCTTTGTCTTAATAAGCAGTTTTGGGCGTATGTTATGTCAGTTGCTATTAATCTCTATAATAAAACAGCACGTTCTTACAGTTTGAGATGAGGCCTGAATGCTACTTGTAAGAAAATAAAGTATTTTCTTAGTTTCTAAGGTTCTGACGAAACATATTCTCAGCTAAATACGTCAAACATATGTCAGTGTTTTTTAACCATATAAGTGATGCGTTAATTTTGTCGACAAATTTATACTTATTGCAAGTATAAAATAGTCAAATATACAATTAAATACTGGACGTGACTAATAGCTGTGCACGTACATTACTGTATTAAAAGTTATCCGAATCACGGCATTCAAGGCTAGGCGTTGAAAGTGTATTGGTAAATTTATTATTATTTATGTTTGTTGTAATAACCATTCAAAAAATCATTTTTGATTCAATCAAATTCAAGTTGAAATATTCGTCTTTATATTCGTATAAATATTCGCGTTATGACTATACTTATTTTCGTCCTCTGCCGATATTCTTTTGTCTCTTAATTTTAATTGAGTATTTTTTGTAATAGTTTTCTTTTCCATCCTTTAAGATATCTTCATTAATCTTTATAACCAGTTATACAGTTTTTATTCTCATTGGAAATCTCATATCTGTTCATCTTCATCATTATCATCATCATTGGTGCTACAGCCCTAGTTGAGCCTCGATAATCTCCAGTCTATTTCGCCAGTCGTTTCTGTCCATCGCCAACCGTTGCCAATTTGCCAGTCTTCATCGCTCTCTCATCCACACCATCCCCCCATCTCAGTCTTGGTATACCTCTACTCCTATTTCCTACAGGTACCGTTAATAGGGTTCCTCTGGGTGGGTACTTTTCATTTGTTCTTGACCAGCCAGAGACTTATAAAATTTAATTTTTGTATATTTTCTTGACTTATTGTTATTATTTAAATGATAATATAAATCGGATTCAGGATTCAGCCTAAATCTGTGCTTTCTAAACGTTGCAAAGCAGATGACAAATGCACTGGCATGGGGATTTATAATGTTACGCTGTAACGAAATCAAACCTAAACCGTCTATTTTATTTTTATTATTTAATTTTTTATTTACTTTACCGTATATTGCTTAAAGTGTAGATATTTTATCATCTATAGCATTCATAACTTCAAACTTCCACAAACTCACAACTAACGTTCGTAACTTGTGTGTCATCCTAAATATTTAAAATGCCATACTTGCTCTATTTTTCTGTTGTCGGTGATTATGTTAGACCATTTACTATTTTTACTGAGAATAAGCCACAATATTACTTTAAAATAAGTTTATTTGGAATGGAAATCGACACTAATAAACATATTTTAAAGTAAAATTGTGTCCTATTCTCAGTAGAAATAGTAAATTGTATTAATATGCCACAGGAAAATATCTTCAGAACAATATTTTAGACCATACGGGATATTTGCCTTTAAATGTCATAACGTTCGTCTTTGTTAAGCAGATTTTGATATTGATTTGATATTGTATTGCGTACACATTTGGTTTAGAAGATGTAGGTATTACCAGTTGGAGTTACCGGGTTTAGCTCAGTGGCTAGGTACTGACTTACCAAGCCCGGGTTTGATCCCGGCACAAACACCAGAAATTTTTCAATTTCCTATTTACGTAAGTATTTTATACGTAAGTAGATGTTAACACTAAAAACTTGGGGGTCAGGGTTACACAAATGGAAGATGTACAATAAGCCAATTGTCTGCAGTGCAACTGATTATAACAAAACACTTGGAAAAAAAACTAATTGGCCTTTATATTTGTCGTATTTTTATCTGCAAATTTAGGGCACTTAGGTCAGTATGTTGATAGATGTTGAAAAGAATGTCCGAGGCAAGGGTCTTGCCTCGGTCCTTGTTTTCTGTCGAATTTCCATTTTCTCCGTCTTTTTCCTGCCAGTATTTCCACAATTTTTGTATATTAACTCAAACTTTTCTTGCGTTTGTAAGATTTTTAGGGTGGTCAAAACTTTTTTCTGTGGCTCTACAATCTAAGTGAGTTTTGACCGCGTTTACTATTTTCCTCCACTCTTTGTGGATTTTGTATTGTAGCTTCCTGTATGAGTGGGACAGTAGGGACAAAGAACAGCATTATGAAGTGAATGATGAATCTGTAAGAACAACACTATAACCTGGAGTAAAAAGTATGAAATATCCATCGTTTTCTGATTCTTCCAAAGTAATATTACCAACTTTACATATAAAATTGAATTAAATAAACTATGTTATTAAAACAGAAAGAAGACAGAAATTTTTCTCGACTTTTAATGTACTAAACTGAAAATTGATGGTACTGGGGGACAAAACCCCAGTACTTGGCGAAAAAAGCCATACCAGCGGCTTGTTTAAAAGCCGAACCGATAATAAAAAATATTTCTTACACTTACACATCACCGCGATTTCAGTTGCAAAAATTATCTCACTGGCTAAGACAATCAACGCTGAATCCTTTGATCGACGCGAAATCTTATACAGAATGTACTTTAACATAAGTGAATTAAACTTTATACAAAACGGAATTTTAAAATGGTATAAATTTTTAAAAGAATGAAAAGTGCAAAAATGTCAAAATTAGTAGAATTAGTAGAAAAAGCTAGTACAGAAGAAAAGGGAAATTACGACAAAGATGAATTAGTAATGTTAAGAATTTTTTAAAAGTATAAAGTTAACAGATTGAAAGAACTATACGCAGATTAAAATAGTGTAAAGTCTTTATTAATTCTAATTTATTGTTCTTATTTTAATTTACTAAAGGTTTAATATTTATAACACAAATTTATCAAAGTCTTTATTACTACTAATTTATTTTACACTTAATAATTTATCTACGTGCGATACAATTTTCAACGCGAGCACGGACTTCTTTTCGACCAACTGTTCTCCTCAATAAAAATCCCGTTATTATATATAAAATGCCGTTATCTAGAAATGTCTATCGAAGAATCGATTACCATCCATTCATTAGGTGACTCATGGACTGGTCTCGAAGAAGGGTCTAGTAATTTCTGGCGGCAGGTAAACAGGTATGAGCGCCGAAATTACTAGAAATAGAAAACAATTAGTCATAATACATTTACAGTTTTATACGCCATAATATTTATTATCGTAACAATAGTAATAAAGTAGGAAATAGCTCTGAACAGAATAAGGTGTAAAAATAGTATACAATACTAGTAATTTCTAATTTTTTCAAATGTAGGACATATTTTGTTTTTAAAATGATCTAATTTGTATTGAATGAATTACGATTGTAATTCTTAGCACCTTACCTCCAATGCCCGTTAAGCTAAATACATAAATAGTTATAATATCTTATCTATTGACTTAATACGTGATTATTCTTATGTGGTCAAGCTAGCTTACATCTACAAGTAGTTTTGATCATGGGTTGACCCAATTTGTTCAACGTTTATTTGTTATTTTTAAAAGTTTAACCAAACCGTATTTTTATATGAAACTAATTTTTATTTTTATTCTACCTGCGAATTGTATGTTAATTTAAAAAATTTCATTTTAGGTGACGGTGGTGGTGTTAAACTAGCACTCTCGCAATCTAAATTCACCGCAGATGGATCAAGTCCAGCGGATGAAGATTATCTGTGGATGATACCAATTTCCATATCTACCTCTAAACAACCTTCCAAAGAAGTAGTTTGCATTGTTCTCACTACGAGAACGGCAGAAATCGTTGTACCTGATGTTGGAAAATCTGATTGGATTAAGATTAATCCAGGAACTATTGGGTTCTATCGAACCCAATACACCCCAGAAATGTTGGAGAAGTTTATACCTGCTATTAGGGATAGATCTCTTCCGCCATTGGATAGGTATGTCGATTGTTTTTTGCTTTTAGGCAAACGTTGTATTTATCTACTGATTAGACAAATGTGTCATTGCAGATAAAAATTTGTCACTGTATTAAAAATCTTGTCATTTGTGGGTTTGGTTATTTTTAGCAATGAATTTAGAATTTTAACAACTTTATACTTAAATCTTAACAATAAAGCAACCACCTAGATCGTCGGGTGCCAATTGTGTAAGAATAAAGTAACTATGAACAGACTCTTCAGATTCAGATGCCAATTTTATTATTAGGGCCTCGACAAAGGTGTACATACGTCTTATCTTAATGCAAATTGTACAATGAGAAATTTGGCAGAGACAAATAGAAGATTATACCAACTAATCATATTTATTAAATGTAAAAAAAAAATTGAATAAGCAAATGTTACTTAACCTTTACAATAAAATAAATGTAAAAATATACTTATGACTAATACAGAGATAGTGTCACATATGGAGGACAGCTGGTTGTAGCTTCACATGGAGATATTTGTATTCTGTAGTAACATCAACATTTATGTTGGCTGTAATGGTAGCAGCATTGATGTTGGCTGTAGTGGTAGTAGCAGTGATGTTGGCATGCTACATTTCTTTAACAAACAGTTGTGATGAACACCACTTGGTGTTAATTGGGTAGTCCCACCAAATAGGGAGACAACAAAAAAAGTCCACGAGAGTCAGCAGCAACCCCTAGTGGGAGTCTTACGTTGCCATGTAGGTTATCTGAGAAATATTCTAACATCACAACATTACTTTAAATAAAATGTAAGACATATTAAATTTTGTACCATCTAAAGGGTTTTTACCCAGGTATTTAGTGGCTTAACTTATGTGCATCGAGTAAGCATCTAACCACATTGCTTTTTCAACCTTAATCAAAATTTTACCTTTACATTTGCTTTAAATTAAGTGGAAATACCTATTCCAGCTAACAAACCACTGCTGATGGTTTTTTTAGTTCGAAAACGGTCTGTGATGTAACCCGAAAGGGATTTTAAATCATACCTTTTATAAAGGAAATTAACCACACTTAACCACTTTGGAATAACCACATCACTCGAAACACAAAAATTAGGATATACAAAAGTATCATAGAAAGCATTGCTGCATATGGTTCAGAGCTTTGGGTAATAAATAAAAATGACGCAACCAAAATAAAAGCAATGGAAATTAATTATTGGAGAAGATGTTGCCAACTCACTAGAAGAGATAGAGTAAGGAATACTGAAATCAGAGAGCGTATGGGCATAGACATTGACATCCTGGAAACTATAGAATGCAAAAGGCTGAAATGGTATGGCCATATAAAAAGGATGAATGATCAACGATGGCCAAAGAGAATGTTACTGTGGATCCCCACCAACCAGAGGAAAAAGGGAGGACCAAGAAGATCGTAGAGACAAGAAGTAAATGGTGCAATGGAAGATAGGGCTCAAGTAGATGACTGGAACGATCGCAATCGTTGGAAGCTAGGTTGCGAGAAACGGCGGCAGCTGTAATAAACTCGTTAATATATATATATATATATATATATATATATATATATATATATATATATATATATATATTATCTTTTTTCTTACTCTTATATATATATATATATATATATATATATATATATATATATATAAAGAAAATTGATGGTATCCATTAAAGGATATAAGAATCATCGCCAATCTGTATTGGAATCTGGATTAAAAAAGGAGTAAGGCAAGGTTGTATACTGTCCCCAATGCTGTTCAATTTATACGTAGAAAAAGCCTTCGCAGAAGCAGTGGAAGACTCTAATAAGGGTATTAAAGTTAACGGCATATTTATTAATAACATCAGGTATGCCGATGATACAGCCATAGTGGCAGATAACATCGAAGATCTTCAATGCCCTTTAAATGATCTAACTCTTGCAAATTAAGCTCGGGGTTTGAAAATAAATATCAAGAAGACAAAATCAATGATTATAAGTAGAAATGATTACCTCAACGCAAAGATATATGTCTCTGGAGAAGAAATCGAACAAGTCAGGCAATTCAAATACTTGGGATGTTTGCTGAATGAGGGTTGGGACCCCGAGAATGAAATAAAGAGCAGAGTTGAACAAGCCAGAAATGCTTTTTTGAGGCTTCGTAAGTTTCTGACTGATCGCAAATTGGACTTCAACCTCCGATACAAGATGCTTAAGTGTTACGTGTGGCCTGTTCTTCTGTACGAAATGGAAGCATGGACGTTAAAGGCCAGTTCCATTAACAAACTTGAAGTGTTTGAAATGTGGTGCCTGCGTCGAATGCTCAGAATATCATGGACGGACAGGGTCAGAAATGAGGAAGTACTCAGAAGAGCGGGCTTACAGGATAGGGAACTTTTTAATTATGTAAAAAGTAAGAAGACTGCATACTTGGGGCACATTATACGAGGAGAACGATACACTTTTAAGCAACTGATACTCGAAGGGAAGATAGAGGGTAGGAGAGGTCTCGGACGTAAAAAAATGTCATGGCTGCGCAATATTCGACAATGGACAGGAATCCACAGCTATGAAATGCTTCGCAATGCTGCTAAAAACAGAATTATTTAATCCAGAATATTTAACATCTTACCTGACAAGACGATGTACGGTGGACGCCTACGCAGAAATGCACGGCACCTTAAGAAGAAGAAGACGGGAATTTAATTTTTCTTGTGCATTTTAAAATACAAATAGACTATAAAGAAATATTTGCGCTCACTTAATTCGACCAGCAGTGATTGAATGAGGCATTAATCTCTCCGGTCCATATTCTAACGCCTAAGGCAGGTAGGCGTTCAGAAGTCGATGAAAAAATGATGGCACCTTCTTATCGGTGGAATAATGAAAGTGCAAAAGGTACGATGCAGTTTAGGAATGCGAGATTAGTATTTAGCCGGGGATTAAAAAAACTCTATAAAGAAATGTACTTCTATAGTTTATATTTAAACGAATGCGGCTAAACAAATTAAACTTACCATATAGGTCCGTGGGTTTTCACTAAACACTGTAGTGATTAAACTATTAAATTAACATAGTGTTGGTATTCTATAAGCAATCGCCAGACTAATTAGATAGAAATGAGTGGCAATATAGATGTTTTTATTAGGAACAGAAAAAAGTAACAAACTTCAAACGTACCCAGATAAAACTAATGATTTGAAAAAGTAATAAAACAGTCGAAGAATAGTTATATTTATAGTACTCACTATAATTTTAAAGACTAGAAATCATTCTCAAAATACAAATTATTGTTGTTTTACTTTTATTGGAAATCGAAAAGTTAGAACAAAAAAAATCTGTTTGATTACAATTCATTGTGGTTTATTCCCTTTGTATTAAAATATTTATTAAAAACGTGCCACAAGGAAATCATTTAAAAACAATAATTTTTAAGTTGTTAAACTGTTTGTTAGGGCTGTTATGTCGTTGTCTTCTGAGATTATTTCTCGACGTTTCGCCAACACTAGGGGTTGGCGTCATGAAGAGATGACTGCTTCGCTTGTAAGCTTAAACTGACGCCGCGTTGTACTACTGAGGCTATATTTATATTTTCTACTCGCCTCCCCTCAACTGGTTTCTACGTGAGGGGGCGTGTCGTCGTTTGTAGTAGCTTTTCTCTCTTCGTGTTTTGCGAGAAGGGTGTTTGTGGATTTTAATATTGGTATCCATGTTTTGTTAATTTTTAGCCCTTCTATTCGATTAAAATTATTAGGGTGCTTATATATTTCCACCCCTTCCCGATACAACCGTGGGTAGTACTGTGATGTTTTATCCAGCATATGCGTTTCTTTAAACAGTATCCGATGTTCTCCGCTTCCCAAAGCGTGTTCGGAAATGGCAGATTTGTCGATATGTCCTAAACGAGAACGGCTTTTATGTTCGTTTATAATTGTGTTTTATGTGTCTTTTCATGCTTCCACATATACCATTCCACATGTGCATGGTATTCGGTATACTTCGGCCGTTGCTAATGGGTCGCGTTTGTTCTCCACTGATCTTAAACATCTTAAACAGTCCTTGATTTTCTTTGTAGGCTTGAAAATGGTCTTTACATTGGCTTTTTTAAGTATTCGCCCAATTCTGTCCCTTACCCCCGATATATAGGGCAAGAACGCTTTTCTTTAGGTATCTGTCCGTGTGTGTAGGTTTTCGATGCACTTTATGTCCTAAGTAACCTTCTTTTCGATTTACTAATACATCTAGGAACGCTAGTTATTGATCTTTCTCTGTTTCCATCGTAAATTGAATATTTTGATGTAGTGTGTTTATATATGACAGGAAATTGTTAACTTTTTTTACTCGTGATCTCAAACTACGAAAGTGTCATCGAGTTATCTAAACCATACCCTTGGCTTGTATGCTGAGTCCATTACCCTCTTCTCTAGATGCTCCATGAAAAAGTTGGCTACGACCGGGCTTAGTGGGCTTCCCATTTCTAAGGTCCATTCGCTCAGCTCGGGCATATTTTGATAGATTCATAGTTGGAAACCTACAACACAAAAGTTTCTAGCTCACAGTATTAACAGCTTAAATAAACTTTTATTACAGACTTCTTTCATTGAAAAAAGAAGAATTATTATAAATAATGGAAGTGTATACTAAACCCATAAAATGTTGGGTAGTATATATTTAAAAAATATATTTTTTGATATATGGTGCAAATAAATAAATATTTATTGTCGGTAACTCGTAAAGTTCTATTTTATGTACTATTTAGTTTGTTTACTATTAGTATTGGCTATGAGTACGTGTGCTGAGTTGTATAGTACTTTCCAGCCACTTCTAGTCTGTCAAAAAGTAACTAACTTTGCAAAAAAATAATTACTAAATTCACTAGACAGTTCGGACTGGGAATAGCGAACCGACTATACTCCATCTATCTGTTCATAAATCTGGTCTTTCCATGAAAAGTATGTGGTAGTGAAGCAAATACGGTATAATTCCACCATATCCTTGAGAAAACCAGATTTATGAACAGATAGATGGAGTAGCAATGGGAAGCCCACTAAGCCCGGTCGTAAAATCGGTCGTTTAAAAATGGCCTTTGTTGTTGGCAATGTGCATTTTGTATGCTTAAGGTTTATCACGTTTATGGAAACGCATATTTTGCAGAACTATCTAAGAATGGTATCGAAAGTTGAAAAGTTAAAGAAAGGAGACGAAGAATAAGCTGCGACCAGGTGCATTGAGTAGTACATCAATCAGAGCAATTTCAGGAAATGATTCTCTGAGTATAGGATCTGTTCAAATTATCGTACACAAACTGGGTTACAGACAAGTTTGTGCATAATGGGTTACTCACCTTTTGTTAGGGGCCCAAAAAGCTTGAGAAAATCAACCTTCAGTGGGCCAGGTCATGTTAATATTTTTTTTTCGACCATGAAAGAGCCTTGCTCATAGAGTTTACAAAACTGCATATTAACTGTACAATGAAAGTTTGAAAAAGCCCCATCAAACAATAAGACATTACTCGGCCTTATGTTGGCAAAGTATAAAAAGAAAATCTATAACGAAGGATATTAGAGCATACACTCTATAGTCCAATTGATCGCCTTGCGATTTTCGTATCTTTGTGACACTGAAATAGGTAATCGTTCTCAGTCGGACGAACTAAAATTACGACGTAAAATGCCGTAACAGAATTATTCGAGCAACAGCCACAAGATTTCTTCAAGCAGGGTATACATCGATTGGTGAAACAATGGGAACGTGCCTTAATTTTAGTAATTATCTGTAGATTTATTTGCCAATAATTTTTTTTTTTGTCAAATATGGATTTCAATTGAACAAGCCTCGTATAAATATATTTTATTCCTCCTTCTTCTTATTGCATCGTCTCCTTTCGAAGGTTGAAGATCCAAAAGGCAATTGCAGCTTTGGAAACTGCTGCACGAAATATTTTTGCGAAAAAACGGTCAATCCATCTCTGTCCTCCTACTGATCTTTTGCCCTGTACTTTACCTTCCAATATGATTTTAGGAATTCATATCTTTTACCTCTCAACACACGACCCAAGTATTGTATTTTCCTCTACTTAGTCCTTCTACAGCTGGCGCCGCTTCTCGCATCCTAATTTCCAGCGTTTTCTGTCGAAGCAATCTTCAGTTGTTAGATCTCTGGCGGTCATTGCATCGTCGACATCGTCTCTCCAGGATCGTCTTGGTCTACCTCGTTTTCTTTTAGTTGGCGGAGTCCATTCTTCTATTTTTTTTTGGCCATCTGTTTTCCGGTATTCTCTGAAGGTGTCCATACCAGTTAAGTCGTTTGGCTTCGATTGTGTCTATTATGTCTAGATCGATTTCCATTTCTCTCCGAATATCTTCGTTTCTTACCCTATCAAGTCTAGTGAGCTGGCAACATCGTCTTCAGTAGTTCATTTCCATCCTCTACTTTACTTTAATATTCTTATTAATTCTTTTTGTTTACGCATTCGCCGAAGTACCTCATCGTTGGAACTTTTTGTATCCATGGAATTCTTAGCATCCGTCTGTATATATACATCTCAAAGGCATCTATTCGTTTTTCTGTTTCAAAGTCCATTGTCCAACTTTCACAGCCATACAGTAAGACAGAAAAAACGTAACATCTCATCATTCGGAGTCTGAGCTTTAGAGTAAGGTTTAATCGTGTAGAAAATGTTTTCATGTTCACGAGTGTTTTCCTCGCTTGTTCGATTCTTGATAAGATTTGTTTGTTTCTTTTTCTGTCTCTAATTTTATTACAATTTCATCTGCAACTGTGTTTGAATGTATGTACCCATATTTATCAAACTTATGAAATGAATTCATTTTAATTTGCTATTCTTTTAGGTTAGGTTTATTAGACGACTTATTTGCTATGGTTAAAGCCGGACACACAAGTACTGTTGAAGTTCTAAAGCTTCTTAACGCTTACGAAGACGAACCTGATTACAACGTTTGGTGTTCAATTGTAAATATTCTCGGACGCTTAGGACAACTCTTGGGTCATACAGATTATGAAGCAGACTACAACAAGGTAAGTCATGTTTATATACAAACTGTTAATGCTAAGTTAAATAAGTGCCAAATGTACAGTGAGAGGCGTCTAAAGTCTTACACCCCTGTCAGCTCGTTTATTTTAAAGATAAAATAAAACAAAATCGCTCGTACACGTCGATTTTTAAATTTGTTGATATTAAAATCTAATGGTATAAACGTTTCGAAATTTCGATGAGCCCCACCCCCCTAACAATCAGGTGACAGCCACACCCTCAATTTTAATAGCAAAATTGGTCATGTGACTTTTACTTTGAAAGGTTTTAGATTTATATTACACCAGTAATATATGTACAGAGTGACATTCTCTTATATCTGTTATTGTAGCAGATACCAAATAAAGTTATTTACAAAAATAGATGCAGCTATAAGCGTCATATTTGAAAATTATTTACAAATATACAGGGTCTTCCATAACACTGTACCGCGCCAAAGATAATGTTTTTTTTTTTTAATGAAAAACACTTTATTTTATTTTAAATTTGAATTCCACTTCACTTTCTCGTTACAAAAATACAAAGTTTTTTTGTTATACAGAGTATTTGAAAGGTATAACCAAATTTCAATGAAAATCGTAACCATTCAACTCCCTGTATAACTGAAAAGAGGATACAAACACAACAACCTGTTGCAGACATAGTTTTTAAATAATTGTCAAAATTCATAAAACTGATTCATTTTGCTGACACTCTTTAAATCTAATACAGAGTAAGTCAAAACACAAATTTAATATTTGTTCAGTATACTTTATTTTATATCACCATTATAAACTGAACTCAATATAGTTTAATTTGTGCTAAGTATTTCCTATGGTTATACTTAGCACTAATAGTTTTGGAGATATTTTAAATTGCGGTGGAAAACGGGTACTATATCATGAATTAAATTTATTATTTTTATTTACTTTACTATTTATAATAAATAAAGAAATTTTATTTTCATTGTAGAAGGTGCGAAATGAGTTCCTAAATCAAGGTTGCTATGAAGGTATATTTAACAAATTGACAAGTCACAAATTGACAAGCCAACTACTTTGACATTCAGTTTAAGTCAAATTTATTGACCACATGCGACATTATACAAAGTACATGTATGAGACAAGTCAAAGTTACAGACATACATCTTAAAAGTATATAAATTAATAAACACGATAAACATACTTAAAAGTTATTTTTAGAATATGGCTCTTGCTCACAAATGTATTGATGTATAACCCGACAAGCGAGAGCTGGCGGGTTGCGCGTAGAACAAATTAAAAAGTGGAAGGAATTGCTCATTTCTATTGCAGTCGGCTAGGAGTTCTCATCGTGTATAACCGTCTAAGTACCTATACTATATACCTATAATCGCGATTAAGTACCTCTCCTATCTCTCTTAGAATAATTCCTTTTCTATTTTCGCGCAGCTCTCCAGCCAGCTCTCGCTTGTCGGATTATACACACCTCCGAAAGTTTGGCTGATGTAAATTCATTAGTATATCTATTGGTAATTTGTTAAAGAAACTTATGGCTGCATAATGTGTGCTACCTTCCAACAAAACAGAACGATGTTGTGGAAGCATAAAGTGATTCTCTCTGAATCTTGTTGAATAAACGTGGTTAAATTGAAATTTATTAAACTCATAATTTTTGCTATGCAAATACATTATACACGAAAATATATACAGACCAGGAATTGTAAGAATATTGTTTTGTCTAAAGATGCAAGAATCTCTAAATTTCATTTTATACATTATCCTAATAGCTCTTTTCTGAAGTACGAATATCTGCTCTAATTCAGAGGTACAACCCCAGACTTCAATGCCATATTTGGCTATTGAGTAAAAATGGGCAAAATATACTATTTTTAATATTGATGTATGAAAGAGACGTGAAATAATTCTTAATGCATAACATGCGCTACTTAACCTGGATTTCAAATTAGAAATGTGGTTTGACCATTTACAATTACTGTCTAGAAGTACCCCCAGCAACTTCGTGCAGTCTGTTTTATCTATTGCTGCTTCTAGAGTGGCTTGATGGTTTAAAATCATATACTTTGATTTCTCTTCATTCAAAACTAATTTGTTGGATAAGAAATAACTGTTGATGGTGGATAGTATCTGTGTAGTTTTATTTTGCAAATTTTGACGTTCCTGTGACTAGAATGTTGGTATCATCCGCATAACTGATGATGTTAACCCCAGTCAGTGAATTAGTTACCAAAGCTATATCATTCATAAATACTATAAGAAGTAGAGGACCCAATACACTACCCTGAGGGATACCATAATGGGTATCCAATGTGTTTGATTCGTTTATAAGTTCATTAGATGTTATCTTTACTTTTTGTCTTGTATTCTCTAGGTATGAAGTAAACCATTTTAGAACTACACCACGAATACCAATCCCCTCAAGTTTTATTAGCAACAAATTATGATCAAAAGTGTCAAAAGCCTTGGACAAATCGAGAAATAAACCACATGCCTTCTCTCGTCTGTCCAAAGCATCCAACACTAAGCTGATAAAATTTGCAAGAGCTGTAGTTGTAGACTTAAAAGATGTAAAACCATGTTGAAAATTATGCAAGACACTATGCTTTTTTAGGAACGCGTTCATTCTAGTATAAACCAGAGTTTCAATTATCTTTGAAAACACAGATAAGGGACTTATGGGACGATAGTTGTTGAGGTCATCTTTATCACCACTTTTGAATAAAGGGATTACAATAGACAGTTTAAACATACTAGGAAATATTCCTTGTTGAAAAGAGGCATTACAAATATCCGTCAGTGGATCTGCGAGAGCATGAATGCATTGTTTTAATAACTTCTGATCAAAATCTGATCAAAACCACAACTGTGTTTGGATTTAAAACTTCCGACTATACTAGTTATTTCCTGTGGGTTAGTTGGATATAAAAACATAGAACAACTATTACGGTTATATGATGCTAATGTAAACCCACCTATTTTAGTAGGATCCAAAGCGACAAGTAACTTTGAAGTCATTTCAACAAAATGGTGGTTAAATTTGTCTGCTAAATTACTGTTATCATTACTAGGTACTTTTGAGTTATTTTGTTTCCCGACTGTTAAGTTTACTAAATGCCAAATACATTTTATTTTATTTGATGATTCGTTTAACTGTCTCATGAAGTGACTATTTTTAGCTGCTTTTAATTTAATTGAATATTCTGCCTTTGCCAAATGAAGGACTGGCCTAAGATTACTATTTTGCTGACAGATCGTTTCTAAAAGTTTTAGCTGATCTCTTAAATTGTACAGTTCCTGCGTAAACCAATTCTAACGTACATTTTTTTAGGTTTACATTTAAGTAGTGGAAAATGGGACCGAAAGTAATTTTGGATAGTATTTAAAAAAGCTAATGATTTATCCTCAGCAGAAATTGTATTAAATACCTCTGACAACTTTGTTGACTCAACGGTTTGAACAAAACGATTTATGTTTCTTTCACTGTATGAACGGATGAATATATAGGCATCATTGTCTGTGTTAATGCTCCATTGGAACAGTTGCGCACGATGATCAGGGATAAAACCTTCCACAACCATTGTCTTTTGTGGGTGATTTATGTTTGTAGCAATATAATTAATTTGAGTTTTACTAGTTGCAGTTACTCTTGTTTAGTCATTCACAGTTACGGTTAAGCCATAAGAATCTAAAACATTCACTAAGTTCTGCTTACTTAGTGCATTTGATTTGAAATCTATATTAAAATCACCTGTTTTGTACTGTTGTAAAGGTATTGATAACACTAATTTCTCCCATTAACCAGTTTGGAACAAACAAACAAGTGAGATCAAGTGAGGTCCATGTACCTCACTTGTTTGTTTGTTCTAAACTGGTTAATGGGAGAAATTGGTGTTATCAATACCTTTCTTTCTCTCATTGGTTGGTTTCATATAGTAGATGTCGTTATATGTATCTTTGGTAAATCTGAATTCGCTTTTAATTGTTTTAGGAGAAAAATTAGATCTTCTTGTTGCTTTAAATTAGTTCTTCTAGATGATATGTAAGTTTACTTACAGCGTCAAGTTCCTTTTTAATGGTAATGGTCCTGTCTGATAATGTGTCACGGTGAGAACAGGTTATGTTATCTACCAAATCATAAGATTTATTGTCGCTCTTGCTATTTATAAATTTACCAATTTTATTTATATAGGCAGTCACTTCTGGATTTTCAACATTCACTGGTACTTTTAACGTCACAATTATGTCGATTAGTTCATTTATCTTTAATTTATTTAACTCAGTCGTTAACACGTTGTATCACACGGCGAATCAAACATTGTCCACCACAGGCATCCATACCAGAACAACGACACCAAAAATGGATTACAAGTTATTTTAAAAGAATGAAAGCACTAAATAATTTGCCCTCTGCGTCCTAAAACATGCACACCACTCAAATATTTCAAAACATCTGGTTCTTACCGACTCGCTCAGCTCTCTTTCTACAATGATTTGTATCCCAAACATCCTTTAGAGAAGCTAATAAAAGCTGCTCTACGAATTGTCCAAGAGAACAACATAATTCCTAAATTTATATGGACCCTATCGCATACAGGAATTATCGGCAATGAAGACACTGACGAAACTGCTCGTGATGCAGCAATAAGTGCGGAATCTGAATTAGTGCGCGAGAGTGTATCCAAAGATCTGAAGACATTTTTTAAATAAAAAGTGATAGGTCAGTGGCACTACGAATGGATTTTGTCTCAATCTAAACTAAGATCGCTAACACCAGATACACGACAGTGGAAAACTAGTGCTAGCACATAATTTATTCAAAAGATTCTAACGCGCCTAAGATCACATACTTATACTTACTTTTGGGCAGTGAAAGCCGCTTTTGCGACTTATATGCTACGCCTGTTACCATCATCCATTTGTTAATTTAGTGTCCAAAATACCGAAGAGAATGTTCAATTAAAATCTACCAACACTCTACCTGCTCTATTAGGAGAAGTTCTGTCCAGTAAAAAACTTAAATTACCTAAGGTATTATATATATATATATATATATATATATATATATATATATATATATATATATATATATATATATATTATATATATATATATATATATATATATATATATATATATATATATTATATAATATGTTTTACCAAATCTAAACTTACTGTTAAGCTTGTTTACTGAGTAACGCCGTTAATAACCTGTTGGTGATAACTTTGCTTTATTAATAAGAAAAATACTAAATAATTATGAAGAGTCACATTAGGTGGTCCATCAACGTTTGGGGTGGTATCTTAAGTAATTATCTAATAGACCATTTCTTCTTCTGTCTTGACGTTATTGGAGCTTATTTGGAACATCTTCTGCAATGAAAATAACAACTTCTTTGTTGGATTTTTTAATGTGTTGCTTTAAGATATTTATAAATTGTAAAGTAAATAAAAAATAGTAATTTTAATTATTAATGAAATACACTTTTTCCACTTCAATCTAAAATATCTTCAAATCTATTAAATAGAAAATACTAGGGACGAGTGAACTTATGATTGTTGATTTGTAGGTCTTGTTCCTCAAGTCCAGTTGTTCACAGAATTTGGATCATATTTTGATGGTTAACCCAGTCAAATACTTTTCGATAATCAATAAATCATGCATATACGTCTACAGTCTATCTCTGCATCATTATCTTAACACATTTATTCTCGTGTTCCCAAGTCATTTCGAAATCTGAATTGAGTGTCACTCATCTGAAACTCAAGATTTCTTTTAACTTCGTATATGGGTGATGATTCTGAAAATGTTTTAAGGACGTGGGACATCAAGCTTAATATTCGATAATCACCGCACTGTGATGCATTAACTTTTTTTTGGTAGTGTTACGAATGTTGATTTTAACCAGTCTGATGGTATTTTAGCTGTGTCAAGTATCTTATTGAATAGTGCTTTTATCCTGTCTAGGCTTTTACTTTCGTTGTCTGTAACTAATTAAGTACTTCGACATTGATATTGTCTGGATTCCGTTCTTCTGAGCTTTTACTGCATGAATAACTTCTGCCTTGGATATTTCTGGACCTGTTTTATTTATTTGATCATTTGTGGATGGTGGAGAACAAGGTTTATCGTCGTCAAAAAGTGTCTGAATATATTCTTTCCATCTCCCCAGTTGGTCTTCTATATATTGTTTCCTGTCGCTTTTTGTGCCTACCTGTCATTTCTCTCACTTTTTTGGACTCTCACTTTGGACTTTGAACTCTTTTGTATCTCTCAATTTCTAGGCATTTTGTTGACATTGAGTTTTCTTTAGCTTCTCTGCACTTTTTTCTAATGATTTTATTGATTCGTTTTTATTCTATTGGGTTTGTTTTATGTTTTCGTCTTACGACCATGAATTCCATGATATTTTGCGTTAGTTATTCTTGTTTCCAGTTGGTTTTGGTGAACCCGATATTTTCTTCTTGTATCTTTGTGATTTTCGTTTTTAGATCAGTTCATGTTATTTCAACGTCTATCTGTACTAAGTTCTCTAGCGGTTTTATTTCTTTCTTAACCTTGAATCTTATTTTATTTCTTCTTTCAGGATTCTTCATTTGTGAGATGTCTATTTTTCACGTCTCTTTTTCCCTTTTAACTTTCAGAAATCTTTTTAATTTAAAAATCATTATAACTGGATTGTGATTGCTATGAGTGTCAGCTATTATAATTATTATTTATCTACTAATTATATACCTGCTATATGATACATTTCTTTTTAGTACCAAAAGAGACTATTGAGCAAAGTGTATAGCAGATTGGGATGGACAGTAAAAGCAGGTGAAACACATCTCGATACCCTATTAAGAGGATTAGTATTAGGTCGATTGGCGTGGTTAGATCACGAACATACCATATCTGAGGCCAAGAACAGATTTGATACCCACGTCAAATCTGAACAAGTACTACCTGCCGACCTAAGAAGCGCTTGTTATAAAACAATTTTGAGAGCTGGTGGCCAAGCGGAATACGACACTTTATTGCAGTTGTATAGGTCTAGTGATCTCCACGAAGAAAAGGATAGAATTAGCAGAGCGTTTGGAGCTACCAAAGATCCAAACTTGTTAAAGAAAGTTCTGGAATTTGCTATGTCGGTAAGTATGGATTGATGTGAACTTCTTTCTATTAAAGTAAAATAGAATTACCTCAACATTTTTTTTGTTTTTAGTTCTAATTTAAAATAAATTTGACGATATTTATGTAAATTATTTCTTACTGTACAGCTGCTGTCACTGAATAGTCACACCTTAATTGGTACATTGTAATACTGTGAAATCGCAGTGTCGTACGGATTTGCTAAATGTCAAAGTGTATGTCAAAAATTTAGCGCGTTTTGAAAAATACAATAAAAAGCAATTAAACGCGCCAAAAATGCCTAGAATACATGTGAATCACGCGCAACAAACAAGAGCAATTGATAAAACCCAAAGAACGGCAAAAACTTCTTTCTATAATTTCCTTTTTGTTACATTTTGTAAAGTATAATTTTATAGTTTTATTTGATTTTTTTAATTAACTTATTCTGTCCGGTTCCGCCACTGGTAACGTCACTTTGATGTAAAATGTGTGTTTAAACGAGCTAAAAAATTCAAAAAATCGACTACTAGATATGTATGGGCGTAAACTATTTAATGACCGCAGCTGTACCTTCTGTTATATTTTTACATCGTTTTATCTTTGCTTTATTGTGCGTAGTTAAATATTTCGAATTTTTAGTAGTTTTGCTTCTATTTAAACTCGATTACACTTGCTAGTGAATGACAAAAGGTTTTGTATTAACCACTGTTACACAAAAGGAAATATTTTTCATTTCGTCTCACCTAGCAAGTCTATCTGACACGCTAAAAATAGCGGCTCACATGTAATAGAATGGCTGGTTTGACGTGATGTGTATATTCCTTCTCGTATATTATTTACACACCATTTTATACTTTATTTAAAGTAGAACGTTGCGAATTATTTCTACATTACAGTGTTCCTAGATATTTTATGAAAAATATCAGATGTCATCTAGTGTTCTCTGTATTAAAGAAACAGAAAAATGTCAATGTAGTAGGTTTGCTTCTAGTTAAACTAAAGTTAAATATTTCCTTATCAAATAATTATTTTGTTTCTCGCTGCATGTTATTTAGCTCCAAAGTTTAGTATCAAATTTGCAGGTTCAAGTCTCAAAAATGAGAAAAAAAGATGCCATTGTTGACAAATTGTTCTTCTAGATACTTTATCGTCTTCTATTTAATCATTCGTGTGTAGTCAAAAAGATTATTTCTTTTAAAATGCTTGCACGTCATCAATGACATTTCTTCTACGTCACAGTGCAACCAAATGCTTGAAACTTTCCTAAAAATTTTAAAACCATTTTAATTATTTTGACTTGATTTATTCATATTCTAAATAAAATAAAATTCATTGTTGAAAATGTTTAAAAAAATTCTTAAAGTATCAATTTAATTTATAGAGGTTAAATGACAATTATGAACTATTGATACTGTTGTCCATACTGTTGTTCCAGAGTTGTCATGTGCATCAAGTTTTATATTAAATATTATATTTCTATGGAATTAAGCCACAATTATTGGTTGTGATTGTTATGGTAATCATATTTTTAAATAACTAATTTTTAACGTTTCGATTTCCACTCCCGAAATCGTTACCGAATTCCATGTATAACCAAAGTTTTTGTTATTGGTTATGTCATTTCAAAACTGACATGCTTGACCTAGATCTTGTAAGCATACAGTAGATGTGGCTGCAACAAAATTGTGGGTTAATCCCATAAAAACATAATACTTGTCTTAGACATGCCACAAGAAAGAAGTGTCAAGTATCATATATATCAAGCTATGAAACTTTGTATAAAAAATTATGTATATGTGTCTTTATTAATTCAATATTTAAAAGAAGAATGTGATAATCGGGGCCATTGATGGCAATAACTGCCTAGGAGATATCATCATCATTCTTTTTGCATTTATCCCTATGCAAAATCGGTTTCCCTAATTACATTTTCCATAAATTTCTATCTTGGGTCATACCAATATCAATCCCATTTACCGACAAGTCCTGTCTAAGCGTCTCCTGCCAGGTCTTCTTTGGCCTTTCTCTCCTATTCCTCCCAGAAACTTGCAAATCAGAAATTCTTTGTATTGGGTGATTAACGTCTCGATATTGAATATGCCGGAACCACCTTAACCTATGCTATCTCATTTTAGCATCAGGTGATTTTACTCCGAGACTTTCCCTAATATACTCATTTTTAATTTTATTCTTTTTTGTTACTCCACTCATCCTTGTCACATTCCCATTTCCGCAATATGCATTCGTTGTTCCCTTGCATTTTAACTGTCCAACATTCAAATCCATACATCATAGCTGATCTTTGAACAGTTTTATAAAATGTTCTTTTTAGTTTCATTGGAATTTTTTTGTCGCAATACACCACTCGCTTTCTTTAACTGCACCCATCTCATCATAATACAGCAGGCATCCCATCATAATTCTACTGCATGCATCTGCATCTATTTTCCCATTACTCTATCTGTATTTCTTGCCTATCTGTATTTCTTACGAATATTGCTCGTTCACTCACATACTTATAGTTATTGAACTGTTGATGAATCTGGTCGAGGTATCAGTAGCAACTTTACCATTTCCAATGCCTAATAACTATTTCGAAAACACAATTTGAACTTGTTGAGAAGACACGTGTTACGTGTCAATTGGAGCGTCTTTACGTGCCACCACAAATTAGATCATGTTAGGCATGCGTTTAGTTCGTCCGCAGAAGTTGATGGAGGAATAACTGGAAGAGTCTGACAGTAGAATCATGGTACCACCAAAAATGTTTTAATTGTCACTAATATCTTTTTTTGTTTATCTCGTTGTATATCTCGTTTTGTCCTCTTGTCCCAAACGATTAATTTGCATACGTGTAAAATTTTTGGCGATGTTCCAAACTGGTGTTTCATTTATTTGAATGTGTAATGGTAATTTTAAGCCAGAATGTGCAGTTTATCCGACTTCTAATACAGTTGCAGCTATTCCAGATGGAGCCACCAACAATAAAATTGGTAATGTTTTTCTGTCCCTCCCAGAATATCAAGCAAGTCGAATCCACCAGATCCAATGTCCACAGCTTCTATCAAAGTATCGTATGCAATTGTTTGTTGATTCGATTGTAGAAAAGTACGAACTATTTCGGCAAATGCTTCAGTGTCGAACTGTTGTTTTCTTTCATACAGTCGCAAAGGAAATGAACAAAACATATTTTTTACTGTCAAATATTAATGGTACGTTCATAAATTTTCTTAGAAAGATATATTAAGCTACATAAAAAAACTATGTTTTGATAATAAACTAAAATAAAAGAGTAAGTAACAGGCCAAACAATTGAATAAGCATATTACGGGTCTTTTAATATTCTATAGTCTAAGCTATCTTCCTTGCTTCATATTGATGTCCGTTTTTGAACGCACCCTATTTGACAGGTACTAACTTTTTTTATATAAAAGAAAAATGTAGGTATATCTCACAACAAGGAATACAACAAAAAACAATATAGGTATATAGATGGAAGACAACTGTAAATACGCATTTCTAACTATTTTGTCGTCATCAGTACGGTGTAGCCAACCTAGAAAAGAAGCATGTTAACATAAGAAAGGATCACTACAGTTCCTACACTACAGTATATATAGTTCCTTATATAGAAGGTTCCATAGTTGCATTCCATCGTCCAAACTTATTTGCGGATTTTTTATCCTAATCAAAGTTTCAACCTCATAAATTTTTGTCCTTATTTATCAGTGTGATTTTTACGTATTTGGTTTTTTGTTTGTATTCTCATTACAATGTCGTGCTTAAATTTTAAACCCATTATTTCCAAAATTTTGTCTGTGAATTGTAATAACAGTTTGTTTTGTTTTTAGGATGAAGTAAGATCTCAAGACACAGTATTTGTTATAGCTTCGGTGGGATTAAGCAGTACTGGAAGAGATATCGCTTGGCAATTCTTTAAAGACAACTGGCCCCAAATCAGGGAACGATTCAGCGGTTATCTTCTTACAAGATTAGTCAAGTATCTGACAGAGAATTTTGCCAGTGACGAAAGAGCCAAAGAAGTTGAAGCTTTCTTCGCCGAACACAAACCCCCAGGTACAGAAAGAACTGTACAGCAGTCTATTGAGACAATTAATTTGAACACAACTTGGCTAAACAGAGACTCGGCTGCCATTAAAGAGTACCTCAGTACTATATAATTTACCTTGCAACTTTAAAATATTTTTGTTTTTGTTTGTTAAATATGGAACATATGCCAGTGACTGTACCTATGATTTGTTATTAAATAAAAGTTTTTGTAATTAGCAGAGAAATGTAGTCATATTTGATTAATCATATGGATACTGAACTTATTCCTCAGGTAAACAAATTCTTATATCATTTAAATAATGTAAAATAAACGGAAATAAAGGACTATCTGAGAAACAATTACATAATGATTTTTTATTTTGTTCTAAGCGGTGGCCCCGTCTAATGTCTGTTGTTTTAATTAGCTGCGGCACATTACGACTGTGCTAAAAAAATGTAGAAGTAATTTTTAAAAACTCCTTTTTAAAGACTCCTTCGTAGACACACTGTCTTAAGACTAGCCTTCAACGTGGAGTCATATGTCGCCATGTTACCTAATCCAACGGTAACTTTAACATCCTAAACCATTATAAGAAAATTTGTAAACTAAATGTAATCAATTATTTGTTAACGGGTTTTAACCCACATATTTAGTGGCTACATTCATGTACTCTTAGACACTGATGATGGAATATGGATTCCGTAAACGTTTGGTCATTTTAACTTAGCCAGTTTGGGTCTAAATATATACCTTTTACAAAGGATTTTTAATAAATTTTTTAATATATGGTATACAGCCAACTACAGGAACGTAGATTCCTTGTGGATTTTTAAAAAACAATTATAAAATGTATTCACTTTCTATGTTTCTGCTACTGCTGGATACATTTCTGAAAATGGAAAAGGTCTTGAATATTTGAATGGAAAATGTTTATTCGTCTTTTTAATGTGCCTATCCATGACACATGTTGGCTATCATCTTGGCGGTTTTTATCTTGTCTGTAGCAGCGCCGAAAAGCTGCACAGATATTGTGTTAAACTAGGTTCTGAGGTTCTTAACCAGGATGTCTTTTTTCTTCTTCGATTTTGCTTTCCAAATATTTTTACTTGCAAAATGGTTTGTTGGAGGGCATATCTGGATTCATTTCGCATAATGTGCATAGCATTCGAGATTTGATGGTGGTCAGTACCTCTCGGTTCTTTTTCATTTTTCTGAGGACCTTCTCATTTGTGACTCGGTCAGTGCACGGGAAGTATTCTCGGATATAGCCACATCCCAAATTTTCCAATCTTGTGCACTTATTTTCGTTCAATGTCCTTGAAAAAAATTCTTAGCGGATTAAGATGGATCTAGCTTTTCTGCTAGACATGCATAGGAAGGGTATGCCCTTAAATGGAAATATTTAAAAAATCGTTAGGTTTATGCAAAGATTTTTAGGAATTAGATGGTACCGAAGAGACGGTCAATCTTTTTACTGTGATCCGAGGATTCCGAAACAGATAGAAGTTAAAAAAATGATAGAAATTTAATGTTTAAAAAAAATGCATCACCAGTGAGGAAGCGGTAGTCTTATTGCCGACAAAGTTTAAGAAACGTGTGTAGAATGGAGAATAAGAACGAGGAGCACTCACAAATCATGATTTTAACAATCTATAAACGCACGTATCTACTTCATAAATTTTATTATATAAATATATTAATTAAATTATAAATTATATAAATATATCTGACTAATAAATAAAATAAAAAACTCAAAGTGTAAACTAATATTTTACTCAGAATCAGATACTGACGTGCTGCTCTCACTAACTACGTTAATTGTCAGTGGTTCAACCTGAGTCTGAATAATATTGTCAAGAGCCCACATCTTTAGTCCGACATTTTATGCTGTATACATATTTGTCATTTTTTATGTTTATTTACAATAGGCAGAATCTCAAATTTTAGTGTATTGTGAAAACTTTGTTGATCGTAGCCAATCTTAAATATCCACTTTCTTCGACGTTGTCGTTAGTTTTTCCACTCTCCTCGAGTGTTACGGTGCATTACCTAAAACAATCACTGAATTTTTGTCTAGTTGCTCTAATTCCGAAAAGAACCGCTTTTCAAATGATTCTCCAATCTTCTCTTTATGATAATCGACAGATTTTTTTGAGTCGCAAGCCCAAAAGGCAGATTGTGTGTGTGTGTTACTATCACTGGTTTTAACAACCAACTTACCAGTCAATTTGTTTTGAGTTCTCTCTTTACACAAGATAGAGTTAGTATTTACATTTAAAACTATTGTATTGCATTGACAGTTAAGACATGGAATGTTAGAAACTTACTTACCAGTTTACTATGTTTTGACTGATGTGTTTATTGTATCTTTTTTTATTTTTATTTTTTTTTTTACTTTTTTTATTTATTATTTTTTTATTACTACGCTAAGACATAAACCCAATTCGACTCCTCGGAGGTTTAGATCTTCTTAGTAACTTTTTTTTTTATTTTGTTCTCTATTTTTTTATTCTTTATTATTTTTATTGTCAGAGCTTTTAGGCCATCCATGACCGCCAGCATCAAAACCTTCTTTAGTCTTACATCTTTTGTCACTACTCTTGTTTGCGCATCCTGGTCTTGATGCTACTAAATTCCTGACTTGTTACGCCATTTTCCTGCTTCCATCTAATTCCAGGACCACGCCTTCTTGTCTGGTTTGTCTAACCTTGTTTATGACAAGATCCCCTTTTTCTCCTAACTCTCCCCTTAACTCTTTTACAAGTTCAGCATAGGGCTTGTCCTTCGGTTTTGTGATGATTACCATCCCTTTCTTTTCTGTGGCTACTATTTGCCTTTCCTTAAACGTTTTGCCATATATTATTGCCGTTATCTTCTTTCCTCTTGATGCCCACTCTAGCACTTTTCTTGATTTATCCACCCCTAGTGCTGCTATCCCTATCTTTTCTCTATCCATTCTTTCTATACGGTCGAATAGCTTCCTGGCTGCTGCCAGAAATTTAACAGCCATTGGTTCTTCTCCTCGCCTTTGTTTTAGCTTGTGGACATTTTTTTTATTTCCTCTCTCTCTCATTTTCCTCTACTATACATGTTATTTGAGACATAGTCCCAATTCCTCCATTTTCATCTTCTTCCACGTATAATCCGGGGAGGTCTGGGTACCTTGCACTAAAATCCCCCTTTACTCTTGTGTCAGCAGCATGCTCTCTTACCAAGATTGCCACATCGTCCGGTGTCTCCAAAATTCTTTTTAGAAGATGGCTCTCCTATCATAATCCTCCTCTGGCCATTCTTTATCTAATACTTCACTTATTTCCTCGGTGCTCTCTGCCGTCTCTATTTTCGTATGTAGTTCCTCAATTCTTTTTCTTTATATTTCTGGATCCTCTTCATAATTTATTTCTGCCTGTGTCCCTACGCACCTCGCAGTTGTTGCTACAGTTATTTTTGTTGTTGTCTCTATTGTTGTTACGCATCTTCTTATAGCTTCCCTTTTCTCAATATTCTCCGTAGCACTATACAATAACTCTCTAATATTTCTTTTCATTTCGCACCAAATCAGCCGTACATTTGCGGCTACCTGTTTGATCTCATCCTTCCTATTTGCCACCGCCTTTGTAAGGTTTACTAACTCGTTGATGTAACCCTTCATTTTTGACATTTCTGTCTCTGTTTTACTTCGTTTTAAATTGGTTTCCATTCACTCTCATCATTACTATCCTCCGTTTCTTTTCCACTGCCATTCTCCACCACTGTTTCACCTATTTTCCTCTTCGTTCTTCTTTGGCTCGTCATTTTTCTCCTCCCGACTGTCCTTTTTTTTCCTCTTCCGCTATTATCGCCAGCCTCTCTTCGCCTATATCCTCCATAGACTCTCCTATCCCTATACTTACCTTCTTTTTATTAAATGTTTTTCCATTTTTCTTCGCACGAGTTGGGTCGATTCTTCGGTCCAGCGGGGCAGTGCGCCCATACTCTTCCAACGCTATTGGTGTTAAAAAACCTTGTTTACACCTTGAGATTAGGGTGGCGATATATTAGAATAATGCATAGCCGCCTGACTTATGCATATCCATTTGTTCTCAGTGGTTTTTGTATTAGTGGAAGATTTCTCCTCGGGTATAGATTTGAGTATCAGGACGTGTATGATGGGTACGGGTGGGTGTCGTATGATAGTTGGGAGTTTTTGTTATGACACAGGGACTGGTTAGGAATTTGGGTAGTGGACAGCTGCTACATTTAGTCGCCTTTTACGACAAGCAGGAGAAGCCGTGAAGGTATCACGACAAGCAGGTGTAAAGACGTGTGAAATGTCTCTCCAAAATAAATATTGTAAAAAGTGTAAAAAAACTGTAGTAAATGGAGTAAAGTGTATAAATTGTGACGCTAGTATCCATGTGAGTTGTGCTCGAAAGAGTAACAATGTTAAGTTTATAAATGACGAGTTGATTGAATGTTGTTTAGCAGTGAAACCTGAAGATCAAATATTTTTGGAAGCAATGGATAACTTAATAACAGATGATAAGGTAATTGATATTAACATATTCAAATATATAATTAGACAAAAAGATACCCTAATTAAAGAGCTATACGGAAAAATTGACCTTATGAGTACATATTGATTTACTAAAACAATTAAATTCGCAAAAAACTGTTGTCGAAAATCAAGAACAACTTATACATCAAAATAAGGTAATAAACAAAGACACACTTATGGATTCAGTCGAAACAAAACCAGTTCGTCAACCCATCAACGCGAACAAAGATCGCACTGTTGTCAGTTCTTCCCAGAAATGTGAAGTTACAAAGAAAGATGTTTCAGAAGCGATATTACAAGTAACTACAGACAGAACAAAAGTTAAATGAGTACATATACGTAGGTGAAAGTAACCAGGAAAAATCTGAATCTGAAAAAAAAGAAAGCATTTAGTTGTGGGAAAAAACACTGAAATGACATTAAATGGAAAAGAAATCAAGGGAGTACATAAGTTGATAGACCTACATGTATACAGGGTCAATCCCGATATGACTGCGGAAAATATGAGGGAACTTATGAAGACTACATTTCCCGAAGTAGAGGTAGAATCCCTAAAATCAAAGCATCCTGATATTTACAGTTCATTTAAAGTTACAATTTTTAATAACAATTTTAAAGAAGCTATGTCTCCTAAAATATGGCCATGTGGAGCTCACGTACAACGTTTTTTTCACGTAACACCCAGAAAGCCGCAAGAGAT